GACAGCGATTAATCACATCCAAAATTAAAGTTTGTGTTTACATAATATGTGTGTGAACTGTGTATAATTATTTTGTATATATAAATACACACACAAGCATGTATATATTTAATGAATATTTGCATGTATATACTGTATATATTATTTATATTGTATATAAATATATAAATATTTTATATATAAATAACAGATTTTTCTTAATATATAATAATATATACATGCATGTGTGTGTATTTATATATACAAAATAATTATACACAGTACACACACATATTATGTAAACACAAACTTTAATTTTTGATTAATCGCTGTCCAGCACTACTAACTTTACATCTCAATGATGACGGACATGAGGAGGAGGATGGAGGAGGATGAGGAGGAGGAGGAGGAGGAGGAGAATGAGGATGATGAGGAGGATGAGGAGGAGGAAGATGAGGAGGAGGAGGATGAGGAGGATGAGGATGATGTGGAGGATGAGGAGGATGAGGAGGAGGAAGAGGAGGATGGAGGAGGATGAGGAGGAGGAGGATGAGGAGGAGGAAGATGAGGAGGAGGAGGATGAGGAGGTTGAGGATGAGGATGATGAGGAGGATGAGGAGGAGGAGGAGGAAGAGGAGGATCGAGGAGGATGAGGAGGAGGATGAGGAGGAGGAAGATGAGGATGAGGAGGAGGATGAGGAGGATGAGGAGGAGGATGAGGATGAGGAGGATGAGGATGAGGATGATGAGGAGGAGGAGGATGAGGAGGAGGAGGAGGAGGAGGAGGAGGAGGAGAATGAGGATGATGAGGAGGATGAGGAGGAGGAAGATGAGGATGAGGAGGATGAGGAGGATGAGGAGGAGGAAGAGGAGGATGGAGGAGGATGAGGAGGAGGAGGATGAGGAGGAGGAAGATGAGGAGGAGGAGGATGAGGAGGTTGAGGATGAGGAGGATGAGGAGGAGGAGGAGGAAGAGGAGGATGAGGAGGAGGATGAGGATGAGGAGGATGAGGATGAGGATGATGAGGAGGAGGAGGATGAGGAGGAGGATGAGGAGGAGGAGGAGGAAGATGAGGAGGAGGAGGATGAGGAGGATGAGGAGGAGGAAGAGGAGGATGGAGGAGGATGAGGAGGAGGAGGATGAGGAGGAGGAAGATGAGGAGGAGGAGGATGAGGAGGTTGAGGATGAGGAGGATGAGGAGGAGGAGGAGGAAGAGGAGGATCGAGGAGGATGAGGAGGAGGATGAGGAGGAGGAAGATGAGGAGGAGGATGAGGAGGAGGATGAGGAGGAGGATGAGGATGAGGAGGATGAGGATGAGGAGGAGGAGGAAGATGAGGAGGAGGAGGAGGAAGATGAGGAGGATGAGGAGGAGGAGGAGGAGGAGGATGAGGAGGAGGATGATGATGAGGAGGAGGATGATGAGGAGGAGGATGAGGATGAGGAGGAGGAGGAGGATGATGAGGATGATGAGGAGGAGGAGGATGATGAGGAGGATGAGGAGGATGATGAGGATGTGGATGTCGATGAGGAGGAGGATGAGGAGGAGGAGGAGGAGGAGGAGGAGGAGGATGATGAGGATGATGAGGATGAGGAGGATGATGAGGAGGAGGATGAGGAGGAGGAGGAGGATGAGGAGGATGATGAGGATGTGGATGTCGATGAGGAGGAGGATGAGGAGGAGGATGAGGAGGAGGAGGAGGAGGATGAGGAGGATGATGAGGATGATGAGGAGGATGATGAGGATGAGGAGGAGGATGAGGAGGATGATGAGGATAAGGAGGAGGATGATGAGGATGAGGAGGATGATGAGGAGGAGGATGAGGAGGAGGAGGATGATGAGGAGGATGAGAATGAGGAGGATGAGGAGGAGGATGATGAGGAGGAGGAGGATGATGAGGAGGAGGATGAGGAGGATGATGATGATGAGGATGATGAGGAGGAGGAGGAGGAGGATGATGAGGAGGAGGAGGAGGAGGATGATGAGGATGATGAGGATGATGAGGATGTGGAGGAGGAGGAGGAGGAGGATGATGAGGATGATGAGGAGGAGGATGATGAGCATGATGAGGATGTGGAGGATGAGGAGGATGATGAGGATGATGAGGATGATGAGGAGGATGATGAGGATGAGGAGGAGGATGAGGAGGATGAGGAGGATGATGAGGATAAGGAGGAGGATGAGGAGGATGATGAGGAGGAGGATGAGGAGGAGGAGGATGATGAGGAGGATGAGAATGAGGAGGATGAGGATGAGGATGAGGAGGAGGAGGAGGATGATGAGGAGGAGGATGATGAGGAGGAGGATGAGGAGGATGATGATGATGAGGATGATGAGGAGGAGGAGGAGGAGGATGATGAGGAGGAGGAGGAGGATGATGAGGAGGAGGAGGATGATGAGGATGATGAGGATGTGGAGGAGGAGGAGGAGGAGGATGATGAGGAGGAGGATGATGAGCATGATGAGGATGTGGAGGATGAGGAGGAGGATGATGAGGATGATGAGGAGGAGGATGATGAGCATGATGAGGAGGAGGATGAGGAGGAGGAGGATGAGGAGGATGAAGGCTGGTCAACTGGAGCAGCAGAAAGCGTGTGTCTGGGCAATAACACACACATCTGCCACTGTTGCCGTGGAAACGACCTTAAACGCATTTGTGTGTGTGTGTGTGTGTGTGTCTCTAGCTGGTTTCACTCTCAGCTCATGAGCTGTATTCTCCTGCAGCTGAATCACGCCCTCATTAGTAATCTTGCAGATCTTGTTTAGATCTTGTTTCGCTTCTGCTCCATAAACTGACTGACACTCCATTTCTGAGCTGCTGTTAGTCGCCGTCCACTTCTCTCAGACACAGCTGTGTTCAATCTGTCCCAGCACACACACACACACACACACACACACACAGAGAGAGAGATTAGTTGGTTGCACTTTTACTGGTCGCCCTTCATCCACCAAACAACATCATTATGCAGCTTTAATCACCAGCGTCACATTCACCACCATCTGTGTGTGTGTGTGTGTGTGTGTGTGTGTGTGTGTCTCGTCATCACTGGCGTCTGTGTTATTCTCCTCTGTAAACACACACGGGTTTATCCGCTTCTCTCAGTCGGACCCTCAGGGACGCGCCGTCTGTTTTTATTGTCCAACAGCAAATGTTCATTAAAAATGTATAAATACGCATAATGGATTTTTTTATGTCAGTCTTACTAGCATATTTTTGTGTCATACAGAAGGAACTGCCAAGATCGATTAATGTGAGTGAAACTGGTGAAAGAGTGAAAGATTTAAAACTGTCACGAAATCAAAATGGACAATTCTTGTTTTTCTGTAAGATCGCAGTGTTTATCATAAATGATTTATGGATGCACATCGTTATTGTGTTAATAATGTTGAATCAGAATAAGTTCCTCTTGCAGCATCTCTTCTCTTCTCTGATGATGTGGGCGGGGCAACCTGTCACTCACATGAGATCAGCCAATAGCAAACCACAACCATCCAATCAGTTCCTCACAGACACAATCAAGCCCCGCCCACATATATACGGCATTATAGAGGAGAGAAGACCAGCACAACTTCCCCTTCATGCCAACAGTAAAGTCTTATGTGTGTAATTTGCCCCAGCGTGTCGGCTGCCGGGTCCTGACCCCTGGCCCTTGACCTCTGACCCCTGTGAGAATAAGAGCCTGTAGTTCATCCTTGTGTTGCTCACATCGGTCTGAGAGCGTCTCCTGTGTGTCGACGAGCTCTTGCTCCCCAATAGAAGCGAAGCCTGGCCTTTACGCTGGTGTTTGCTGTCCCTCCTCATCTCCGCTGACTCTCTAATTAAAGCCAACAAATAATTAGCGGCGCTGCAAACACGCGGCTGTGTAACGTGTAATTGATGGTTAGGTGAGCGTGTGCGCAGTGATTATGAAGGTATAATTACAGCGTTCCAGCGCCAGGCGTGTGTGTTGCTCCTCTGATCATCTCAGTGGTTTGGAGGAGACGACTGGTTTATTTATACCAGCGTAATGAATCCGCCCACTGACAGGGATACCGGCGTGAGCGTCAGGATCATCATCTCCAGTCCCGCGTGTGTGTGCCGCTGATGTGAACCGGAGCGAGTGTGTTACTCACGGCCTCCCGAACACTGAGAAGGACTTCATCTCGCGGGAAGTGTCCGACAGCTCATGCTTATGAACCTGGAACGTAAAATAAAGCAGTGTTTGTTTTTAAACTGGGGTTCACAGAAAAGTCTAGAGTAAGCTGTGTACAAAATAATATATTTCTGTCTTTTAAATAACCTTTGTGAGGATGATCATATTTGGTGGTCCAAATGATGATGTTTAGGTTTATTGATCAGCCTCACATACGACGATGAGGAGGACAGCTTTAACATAACCATAACTATAACCATAACTATATCAGCGTTCAAGCCTATAACCATAACTATAACCATAACTATATCAGCGTTCACACCTATAACCATAACTATAACCATAACTATATCAGCGTTCACACCTATAACCATAACTATAACCATAACTATATCAGCGTTCACACCTATAACCATAACTATAACCATAACTATATCAGCGTTCACACCTATAACCATAACTATAACCATAACTATATCAGCATTCACAACTATAACCATAACTATAACCATAACTATAACCATAACTATATCAGCGTTCACAACTATAACCATAACTATAACCATAACTATATCAGCGTTCACACCTATAACCATAACTATAACCATAACTATATCAGCGTTCACACCTATAACCATAACTATAACCATAACTATATCAGCGTTCACACCTATAACCATAACTATAACCATAACTATATCAGCATTCACAACTATAAACATAACTATAACCATAACTATAACCATAACTATAACCATAACTATAACCATAACTATATCAGCATTCACACCTATAACCATAACTATATCAGCGTTCACACCTATAACCATAACTATAACCATAACTATATCACCGTTCACACCTATAACCATAACTATAACCATAACTATATCAGCGTTCACACCTATAACCATAACTATAACCATAACTATATCAGCATTCACAACTATAAACATAACTATAACCATAACTATAACCATAACTATAACCATAACTATAACCATAACTATATCAGCATTCACACCTATAACCATAACTATATCAGCGTTCACACCTATAACCATAACTATAACCATAACTATATCACCGTTCACACCTATAACCATAACTATATCAGCGTTCACACCTATAACCATAACTATAACCATAACTATATCACCGTTCACACCTATAACCATAACTATAACCATAACTATATCAGCGTTCACACCTATAACCATAACTATAACCATAACTATATCACCGTTCACACCTATAACCATAACTATAACCATAACTATATCAGCATTCACACCTATAACCATAACTATATCAGCGTTCACAACTATAACCATAACTATAACCATAACTATATCACCGTTCACACCTATAACCATAACTATAACCATAACTATATCAGCATTCACACCTATAACCATAACTATATCAGCGTTCACACCAATAACCATAACTATTACCATAACTATAACCATAACTATAAACCCCCTTCACACCTATAACCATAAATATAACCATAACTATAACATTAACTCTATCAGCGTTCACACCTATAACCATAACTATAACCATAACTATATCAGCGTTCACACCAATAACCAGAACTATAACCATAACTATATCAGTGTTCAGACCTATAACCATTACTATATCAGCGTTCATAACTATAACCATAACTGTATCAGCATTCTGGAGTTTTTTTAATCTAATCTGTCAAACAGGTTTGCAATAAGGTCTGAATGTTTGTGATTCAGTGTGATTCATGCAGACACATCACACCAAAAATAATTACAGGATACTTTATAAGACAGAAAACAGTCTATAAAACAGAAAGAGCACCAGATGATGTTGATATTTAGGGTCTTTTGTCATTTAACAACAAGACTGTGTTGTGTCCGTCACACTCTTGTGCATGAGTGATCCTCTGAGCGTCTCCTCCGCTCATTCATGTTTTGTTCGGGTGTGTTTCAGAGGACCTGCTGCCCAACGGGTTCCCCAGCATCGACATGGGCCCTCAGCTGAAGGTGGTGGAGAGAACCAGAACCGCCACCATGCTGTGCGCCGCCAGCGGGATCCCCGACCCCGAGATCTCCTGGTTCAAGGACTTCCTCCCCGTGGAGCCGGCGCTCAGCCAAGGCCGAATCAAGCAGCTGCGATCAGGTACGGTCCTCACGAGATCCTTACGAGATCCTTACGAGATCCTCACGAGATCCTTACGAGATCCTCACGAGATCCTTACGAGATCCTCACGAGATCCTCACGAGATCCTCACGAGATCCTCACGAGATCCTCACGAGATCCTTACGAGATCCTCACGAGATCCTCACGAGATCCTTACGAGATCCTCACGAGATCCTCACGAGATCCTCACGAGATCCTTACAAGATCCTCACGAGATCCTCACGAGATCCTCACGAGATCCTTACGAGATCCTCACGAGATCCACACGAGATCCTCACGAGATCCTCACGAGATCCTTACGAGATCCTCACGAGATCCTTACAAGATCCTCACGAGATCCTCACGAGATCCTTACGAGATCCTCACAAGATCCTCACGAGATCCTCACAAGATCCTCACGAGATCCTTACGAGATCCTCACGAGATCCTCACGAGATCCTCACGAGATCTTCACGAGATCCTCACAAGATTCTTGAGATCGTCACGAGATCCTCACGAGATCTTTACGAGATCCTCACGAGATCTTCACGAGATCCTCACGAGAGCTTCGTCACGGTGGTTTCACAGTCAATCTCTGCTTCCTAACCGTCGAGGACTTGACAGAGCAGCCATCAACTGTTAGACAGTATTCTAGGTTATTACGTGAGGAGGTTTTTGGTCCAATAATTAGAATCTCTGTTTTTTCAGAGTTTAGTAGTAGGAAATTACTAGTCATCCAGTTTTTTATATCAGCTCTGCATTCCGTTAATTTTGTGAATTGGTAAGTTTCGTCAGGGTGTGAAGAAATATAGAGCTGAGTATCATCAGCATAACAGTGAAAACTAATGCCATGCTTCCTAATGATATCTCCCAAGGGTAGCATGTACAGTGTGTGTGTGTGTGTGTGTGAGTGTGTGTGTGTGTAGCATGTACAGAGTGAACAGCAGCGGTCCTAGTACTGAGCCTTGTGGTACGCCATACTGAACATAAGACATCTCTTCATTTACTGCTACAAACTGATAATGGTCAGATAAGTGTGATTTAAACCATGCTAGTGCAATTCCACTAATGCCAACATAATGTTCGAGTCTATTCAAAAGAATGTTCCTCTCCTAAAGAGCTCCGTGCTTTAACCTGTGAACATTTTTGAGCACATATCTGAACTTATCTTGCTTTGGCATACAGACCTACACTCTTAGAAAAGGATCAATGGAGTTCTCTATGCAACCCTTGGGTTCTTGACCCAGTTTTAAACAAGAGTGTAAGGTTGGTCTCTGAAGAAACACTTATGGCAGATCTGAAAGCACTTAAAAACATGAAAAAGTCAAAAATGTTATAGAAGTTTGTTTACCGTAAAACAAATGTAATGCAATGTATTTGACTCTAAAATTGCTATAAAATAAAAGTCATATGTCCCACCAAGATCTAAATTTTAAGTTTATATCACAAAAATGTAGTCGCTAAAAGGTTTTAAAGTGCCGTTTCCATGTTAACGTAATGCCCAATTTCAAAACAGTGAGTTTTGAGTGTTTAAAGTCCCCCTGTGGTCAATAATCTTATCCCTTAAAACTCATCTTTAATCACTGAAATTACATTTTTAAAAGTTTTTTCCTTGAATGTAACTCGACACCCTCGCCTCATTTAGTATGCGCAGTTCTATGAATATGCAGATGAGCCCCGCCTCCACTCACTCACTCAGCTCAGAGATCCACTGGTTGACGATCACACGTTGATCTGATTGGTTACAAGGTCGTTTGTGACGTCAGAAACACCAGCGATTTCAAACCGTGTTTTTGAGACTGTCTTTGGTTCACTGCAGTTTTAAGGAGGAAATACTCAGCAATGCTGTCGACTTATGAACTTACACATGGTGTGTCTTAAAGCGTATTAAACACCACATAGACACATAAACAACATTAAACGCTGGATTTCACCACAGGGGGACTTTAAGCTTTCAAATAAGGCGTAGTTTCTGCTGATGGCTGAACTGTGCAGTCGTGTGGGAGGGACACACAGTCGCATGTTAGACTGCGGGAGTGTGTGATTGCGGATCTACGGCCTCTCGAACGAAGGCGTTTCAGATCAGTGTAATAACGCTGCGGGACTCTTCAGCGTGTGGATGATGAAGTGAGTGATTAGCAGGTCTCCTCTATTACGCTGGGGTTTGATAGGTGGTGATTTCGGAAATGACCACTTACTTCAAGACTCGACCGCAGCTGGAGCTCCAAGCGATTGACTCGTTGACTTTGACTGTAATGTGGAGTCCGAAACACGGGCCGGAAATGTCCTTGATTTGCGCTGACACATGTAGAGGGAATACTGGAATGGGATTTGTTGTTGGATGTGTTTTTAAACTTTGATTCATCCTGTACCAGTTTATCATGAACCTTCACACGACTGGTTCACCCTGTACGATTGTCACGTACATTATTATACATTCTTTAAAACTAAAGCTTTCAAATGGGATTTTTCACACTGCACAATAGAAGAACCTTTCAGTGATCAGTTCTTAAACACCTCAGGAACTGTGGACACTTGTGGAAGAGTTCAACATGATGAGGAGATGATCAGTGTAACTCCACAACAACTACAGAAATGTCTCCGCTAACATTCAGAAACGTGTAAAAGTGAAGCTCTCCCTGAGTCTCTCCGTAAGGCTGCACTCGCTGCTGTTACTCCTGACTCTGGATCAGTGAGATCGGCCTGTGCTGTTATTGCTGGAGTCTCTGAAGCTCCGCCCTCTTCTGAACGGAGGCGGAGCTAAAGCTCATTTGCATTTAAAGGCACACACACAAAACGGCTCGTTTTTGCTCACATCCAAAAAGTGGCAAATTTGACGAGCAATAATAAATGATTTCACACACATTCTGGAGACGCCATAGATTTATATTACATCTTGTGCAAAGGGGCATAATATGTCACATTTAAAAGAGCCATTTTTTCTTAGTTTGAAGAACATTTTTATAATCTAAAGAACCTTTTTCCACTATAAACAACCTTTATTTTTAAGAGTCGGGAATCTTCCTGTTGCACTAAAGGTGGTTTATAGTGGAAAAGGTCCTTTAGATTGTAAACATGTTCTTGACACTGAGAAAATCAAGCGTGTTTTTAAAGAGCTGATCCCTGACAGGTTCTTTGGGAGAGGGTTTGTGATTGGATGTCCTGCATGTGTCGTGTGAGTCGAGGCTCTGCGCTTCCATGTTTCATCTCCATATGTAGATTTATCTGGTAAGTAGTCGTGGAATAAGCAGGATCATGTACAAGTGTTGATTGTACGTTGTCTCTCGCTTATACACGCACATGTATTTATATATATATACATAAATCTAATCCATAAGATTAATGTATATGATATGTGATTATATATAATACTCATATATAATCAGCTTGATCTGTTGCATAAAGTGCATTTGAGCCGCTGTCACTCAAAGCTTTCGTTGTTTTTTTCTCATTGTGTGTTCGCTGTGTTCTCAGGAGTCTTTGGTGAGTATCAGTTTATTCTCCACCAAACTCTCCTCCGTCCCAGAGTGCCGTGCGCTCGTCCTCTGATGAACACGACCTCTGACCCCTGACCCCTGACCCTCCTAACGAACGGCCCTCGTTTCCCCTGTTCCCTAATGAGAGCTGAAGCTCACCTGATCACACACACACGCACACACAAGCGCACACACACACACACACACACACACACACACACGCACACACACACACACACGCACACACACACATGC